ATTTTAAGCTGAATATTCAAGAAATGTGAAAGCTTTGGGTTCCACTCAGGCACAGGGGACGTGTACATCAGTCATGTGTATTAGATGCCCGAGTCCAGTGCAGGGCGGGGCGGGGGGAGGGGTAAGCCTGTAACTCTGAAGACCCCTTCAATTCATTAGTGATTCATGCCACTCCATGTATGCATTTAGGATGGCCGACTGAAACAGCACTGACATTTGGGGGTAAAAGAGGCCCTAATGACCACCATTTCTCAATGGGTGCTTCATCCTTCCACCACTCTGTTTTATTAATACTCATTTTTCCTTGTTTATCAAGCAGGTCCATTGGGGTCTTTGTCTAGAAGCCTCGCTGGGACCTTCTGTATCTTCTTTAGAACCTGCAGCTCTCATCCACAGATAACAAATGGCATTCTCATGCCCATTTCACCCTCTCACAGGCAAACATGTCCAGTAAGACCATTCAGATGCTGAATCCCTGACCCCAGCCAGTCACCCTGGCTCACTGGACACATTGCTATTGATCAACACTTGTCCCTTTGGCTGCATCTGACTGTTAGTAATCCATTAAAAAAAATCTGTGGCTTTCTTCCTCTCCAAACCAATTTGAATCCATTTTATAAGATGTCATGAGACACTCCAACTGCTTTCTAATATCTCCATGATATTGGCTCCTAGACCCAATTCTGTAATATGTTTGCAAATGCTGTTATGCTTGTCAAACGTGGTTTGTTTTCAAGAACCTCATAGATTTTTTATTGGTTTACTTGCTACAGCCCACTATATGTCTTTACCAAGTGTACAACACATCCTTCCTCCAGGTACCAGAACATCAGGCACTTGATTTGTAGGTACAGTAAGAGAAGGCAATGGGCCTGGCACAGAACCTGAAAGCAAGAAAGAATGTGTGCAGGAGGGTGGCAGGAAAGCAAACAGGACATACCCAAGTGCTGTCGTGTTATGACGCATAACCAGTTGTGTTTTTAAAAAAAAAAAAAGTCCTAATCAAAAGTTAACAAGAGCAAAATGGACCAAAATATATTGTCATATTGGGCTGGGGTTGTGGCTCGGTGGTAAAACACTTGCCTAGCATGCATGTGGCACTGGGTTTGATCCCAAGCACCACATAAAAAATTAAAAATAAAAATAAAAAAATATATGTTGTCATATTGTGTGCATGTATGAGACGACAACAAATCCCACTATTCTGAATAGGTACAGGGCACCAATAAGAAATATTTTTAAAAAAATTTAAATTCTTAAAACTAAGCATTGTCTATCTAAACCCCTGAATGGTCAAACTTACTCATCTGTTGGAAATTTTCAATGGAAATTTCTCTAAAAGCAATTACAGAGAATCAAGCCCCCCAAAAGGAGAAAAACTAAAAATCACCAGCAAAATCCAGCCACCCTGTTGTCAATTCCTAGTTGAGCTTAACACTGATGGTCCCGGCCCATGTACATGTACCAATGCCAAGGCCAGTGACAGACAAGGTTCCCCTCTGGTACAAAGAGCCTACTCGGCACCAGACAGTCTTCTATCCTCTCTGTGCACATCATCTTAGTCAGTCTCCACAGAAGCCAGTGAGGCAACTCTAATTATCCTCACTTTACAGATGAGAAGCTGGGGACCCGAGAAGATAAATGGCTTGCCGAAACTGGCACGGTTAGTAAGAGGCAGAAGCAGGATTGAAACCAAGGGCTTCAGACTCCAAAGCTCTTTTCTCTAAACCCCACTGCCTCTAAGCTAAATTCCCCCATCCCGGTCGCCCTGAGACTCCACTATCTCTTCATCATCATCAATAAATATTTATCAAGGACCACTGCCAACGCAGCCTCGCTCTAGTTTCCACAGCAACACACTGTCAGAGAGTCATGGGAGTATCCCGTGCTTGAAAGAATGATGCTGTAATGTCCTCTGATCATGGCTCTGAAAGGTGACAGTTACACTACTACAGGCGACTCCATCTCAGCTGGCAGCCTGGAGGCTGCAGGAGCTGTAGTGAGGACAAGCAAGCAGGAATTAAAGTAGAGGAGAAAGATAATGGGTGGTAACGCAAGAAGATGCTCTGCATCACTGTGTCTGTGACTGTTGCGGGAACAGAGTCCAAGCCAGGACTGCGCATTAATTGTTCTTCTATTAGGAAACAAATCAAGCAATCCAGAAGAGAAAGTAAAATTTGACTGTACTGCTAACGGTTCCCCAGAGGTATCCGCCAGTGATTATCCAGTTAAATGGCTACACTGCTAACAACTGCAACCTCAGTCGGTCCCCTTTAAGATCCGGGTATGTCTTCAATATACAGATTCTGAAACCCACTAGTAAATGGACTAATTATCCCCTTATCTGTTTATTTAACTGCCTCCCCCTTCCCTCACTCCAAATCATGTTTTGCCACACTGTTAACACGCTGTTTTTAAATGTTTCTGTTTGTTTGTTTGTTTGGGGCTTTTTGTTTTGTTTTGTTTTGTTTTATCATTCCTTACAAAAATTGCCGTGGCTCATGAAACACATGTTAGAGTAAAAAAGGAAATTGCCTTTTGATGACAAGCTTCTGCTTCTGACTTTTGGATACCGTGACCAACATGTTACAGCGAAACCTATCATCCCAACTATGTCTTGGATGTAAGCTTACAAATTGAAATTGCTTTTGAGACTGGGACTCTTCAGATCAAAGCAATATGGAAAACACATCACTGAGTTTTAAAATGCATTATTTACCCAGACTTGCCAAAAGTTTCAAATAAGATACTTTAAAGGAAATCAACCTATTCATCATATTTGTGGTAGATTTGGATTCCAACAAGACTGGGTCCATTTTTTAAAAAGTCAACATTTCTGTAGCTACAAAAACAGACGTTTATCCAGAAACCTGGGAAAAAATCTAATTTAAGAGATTTAGTTAGCATTAAAAACCAAAAAGGAGAATATAGATATACACAGAAAATCCCCATTTCTACAAATGAATAAGGTTTACAATGCACCAAATCCCCAACGAAAGCTAATCCCGCTCCTTTAAGGAGCCCCGGGAACAAATGCAGGCGCTTGCTAAATATACAGTAGGTTTGCAGAAGGCGGCCAGCTCAGGTAACCCAAAAGAAACATATGGCGCCTTAACAGTAGATTTCTTCCCAAACTGTACTTCACAATTGCTTTTCTTCCCCATGTGTTCCGAAGAGCAAACAAAGAAAAGGTGCTTGCTCCTCACACTTCTCTAAATGTTTTAACAAAAGGCTGCTGAATAAACACATTACTCATTTAAAAATTGAAAAGAAGTTCTATTCCTGAGATGAAAGCACCTAGATTTGCATTTTAACAGTTGTGGGCGAGCACCACCTGGCGGTAGCATCCGGAACACTCGTGCGTTCAGCCCCTGGACAGCTTCCTGAGCCCGCACGGATTTTAGAGCTGGCGACCCAAGAACTATGAGACCCGTGGTGGAATACGCTTGATTCTGGTTTTGCCGCGGGACCGTAACTAATACTGATGTGTGATTGGCCAGCCAAGCCTTGGAGGACAGAAAAATCTGAGTCACGAAACATACCCAGGTCCTCGGGACTGCCCCAGCATCCTCCTTCCCTAACCTCCCTTAGTATACTTAACACAGATCCCAAAATGAGAAAACCAGGGACTGTGCACCATCTTTGGAATGGTGTTGGGGCTGTCTCTCTCCTCTCCCTTGCTAATCCAGCCTTTCAGCTTCACACACAAGGAGCGTCTTCCTCGCCCTGCTTCCCAGCCACGGAAATAGGCTGCCCCTTCACAGAAGTCTGATGTTCAGTTTCCATTTTAGAATCAAGAGAAGGAGACCAACGCATTTCCAGTGGAATGTCACTACAGTAGTTCTTAACCTCAAAAGCAGCCTGTTTAAAGACGTTACACTTCCCTCAGGTTCATCTTTACCCCCCACCCCTCCCCATAATACACATAATGCACAGCTGTTGCTTAGCATTCCAAAAGAATCTCTTCCTAGGTCCTGCTTGATTAGCTCCACCGGCCCCTGTGGTCCCAGCAACCTCAGCTGAGCATGGTCACACCAAAGCCAAAGGGTGCTAAGAAACTTCAAGGTGATTTCTGAACTTGGTATACCTGCATCACCTCCTCCCATCTCTCCTACCCTCCGCTGCCTGCTCTTCAGGGACTGTGGATGGAAGCTGACTGCAGTGGGATTTGGTGATGGGTAAGACCCCATCCGTGTTAGTCTCTTTGCATATGTCAACTTAGCCTTAGGAGCACAGCAGCGCAAACTCCCACACTGGGGAACTACTTCTCCCCTACCTCCTAGGGACTGAACCCAAATATGAACTTTTCAGGAGCAGACAAGTTCACAGGTTAAAGCCACTCCACCTGAAGGGCCTTAACAGGGGGTGCCCATTACTCCGGATAAAAGGCACGGGGTAAGGTGGAGGTACTGTTGTTTCAGTCATGAATGCAAACACTCCCATGGGTACCTCGAGTGGCTTGCTTGGGGACAAGCTAAGGAGTGCCGCATGTTTTGAAAAAGACTGGGGCTTACTGTGTGTCTCTGAGGAGAAAAGAAAAGCCACCGCCCTGGCAGCCTCGGCCTGCTAGGGACCTGTCCTCCCCAGTTAAAGCGCGCACTGCCCAACGACCTGCCAGGGAGAGAATGTTCTCCCCGGGGCGCCAATGCCGCTTCTCATCTCGCCGCGGCCCCAAACACTCGAGTGACAGATTCCGACAAGTGGGAGGCAGCAAGTGGAAATATTCGCAACAACCGCGGAAAGTTACTCCAGCCCCGGGGGCCGGCAGGAAAGTAAAGCGAGGAACTTGGCGAAACGCGGGCTGCCTGGGGACGCGCGGGGCCGAGCACGCTGTTCAGGACGCTCCTGCACACCGCGGCCCGCGTCTCGCAGCTGGGACCCGAGCTCGGGCCACTGGGCCCTGCGTCCTCGGAGAGATCGCAGAACTTTCTCAACCGAAGGCCCGCGGCGGGGGCCCGGGCGCATCCGGAAGGAGAGGGGAGCCGGGCGGGCGCACTCACCTGCGGCGCTCTGCGCCCGGGCGCCGGGCAGCGGCGGCAGCTGCAGCCGCAGGAGCAGGCTGAGGGCGAGCGCGGCGAGGCTCGCCATCCGGGCGGCGGCGGGCGGCTCAGCCCCTTCCCGCGGGGGCCGGGGCCGGGACTGGGGCGGGCGCGGGGCGGCCCCGCATCGCCGGCGCGGCCGCAGGCTGTGCGCGCCGCTGGGCGCCCCAGCTGGCTGTAATCGGGATCCGGGAGCCGGCGCCGCTGCGCTCCGAGCCGAGGCGCGGCGCGAACTGAGGCGGGAGGCTGGGCGGGGGCGGGACGCGGGGGCCGGGGGGCGGTGTCCCCCGAGTCCTAACGCCGCCGTCGCCTCCCGCCCGCCTGGGCGCTCCGCCTCGGCCGCGCACACACCCTCGCGCGCACGCCCGCGCCTGGCACACGCCCGCGGCAGGCACACGCGGGCTCCCCCACGCACTCTCTCCGGGCTGGCCGGCTCCGGGCGGCTCGCACAGTCACGCGCGTACGCGCCTCACTCTCGCACCCACACGACCGGCAGGGTCCTCGCCTCTTCGGCCCGCGCCTCGCCACGCAGCCAAGCATCGTCTGTCCTGCGGGGGCGCAGGTACGGGGGCGGCGGGGGGAGGGAGAGAGCAAGCAGCGGTTTGAACTCGGGTTGGGGAACTGGTGAATGGGGGGCAATGGGGAGGGAAGGGAGACTGGGAGCAGCCTCTCAATTCTCGATGAGCGGCCAGGTGACGTGCGTGGTTGTGGGGGCGTTCTGCCCAAAGCTGCTGGGGCCGGCTGCCGCTGGGGAGGGTCTGGGGCACACCCTGAGATGAGAATTTCATCTAAGATTGTTTCTCCCCCACCACCACCCTACCCCCTCCTGGGTCGCATCACTAACCCTGACCTCACTGCAATCCCGCCCCCTCCACCACCACCTCGTCAGCCGCCCAGCCTCCCCACGTCACCCTTGTTCACCCCGCATCTCTCTCTCTCGTCCCCACCCGAGGCGGGGATGGGGGAGTAGACAGGGCATGAGGCATCTCTCTCTCTCTCTCTCTCTCTCTCTGGCCGCCTTCCCCCTCCCTTTCTTAAGAGACTGAACCGCTAGCTCTTTTTTCTTTTTCTTCTGGATCTGAACAAAGACCTGGTTGGAACTGAAAGCCTCAAACCTTAGCTCAGAGTCTCCGTTGACACCCCTCCACCAGTCCCAGGCATAGCTGATCCCAGGGGCTGACCAAGGCAGTTTCTCTGATGTTCTGGGGCAAGGATCCCATGGAGGAGACTGGGTGCCACGGGGTCTTGGATTTGAGCCTGGAATGTAAAAGAAGGGATAGGGACACCCGGAAATGCTCAAGGGATTCCCACTTGGTGAATACTTTTGTCACCTGGCCAAAGCTCCTTCTTTTCAATGGCAGCACCTCCTCCCATCTTTGTTGGGGTCTCAAAGATTGGACTGGGTGGACTGTGGGGAGTCTCGTGAAAGGCATGGCCAGGGTTTGCAGAAGTGGGGTACCTGGGCTCTGGGCTGGAGTTGCTATGGCCCATAGGGCCTCTCTCATACCCCAGTTCCCACTAGATGATATGGAACCAGAAGTCCAGTTGCTTCCCCACCCGACACTGGTAACCCCAGGTAAATTCTCCCAAGCATCGGCTGTCTTCTCTGGACTTCCCCACCACCACAACTCCCACTTTCAAAAAGAGAAGTGCTTCTAGCCTGTTGGACTAGCCAGTACCTCCCACAATTGCCTGGGCAAAGAACTCCCTGACCCTGTCCCCAGTCCCGCTTCCCAGCCTCCTGCTCCTGGAAACTGGAATACTACAGTTCGGTGGGGGAAGCCTAAGAGTTGGACCTTTTACATGCTGCCTTGGAGGTTCTCCATAATTTTGCAAATATTGATGGTGCACTTAACTAGGTGCCAGCTTCTGTGCTATTCTCCAGGGCTCCAGGGACATGGTGGTGATTGGCCCTTGGAGACAAATGGAATGGGAAGATGCCTTCTGCTCAGAGCTATGCTGCCAGATCTTTGCTCCATTAAACCTCCCCCAGGCCCTACCTTGGGCAGTTGTTAGATAGCCTCTGAGAAAAGGCCTGACCCCAGCCAGGAACCTGCAGTCCCAGGCATAGCTGATCCCAGGGCTGACCCAGGCAGAAAAGCCACTAAGGAGCTTGGTGTTGCTGTTGTAACTTGTCCCAGCTCCTAGGGCTCCTGCCAGTTCATTCCCTCTCTGACTTTCTGGAAAAGTATAAAATAGCAGTCCTCACAGCATCTCCCCAGCACATGCCCTCCCCACCCTCCTACGCCCACACGCCAGGGATGCTGTATCACTGCCAGGGAAGGTTCCAGATCTGAATAGGATCCATAGCCCTGAGAAAAGTCCATTTTAGTGGTGACCAAGTTGGTAAAGCAGGACCTGGTGGGGCACCTGGCCTTACCTATCCAGGTACGTGGTCATGAACCGTTACCTTCATGCTTTCTGTTTCCCTCCCCTCCCTGTTCCTCAGGAGTGTGGGTTCCCACCTGCTGCTGGCAGGGCTCTGGCATCCAGCCTCACCGCCATGCTTTTACACCTGCCATCCCTCTACCTGGAAGGCCCGTCCTGCATCCTTTCCCTGGTAAACTCAGGGTCCTTAAGGATACTTTTTGAAACTTTGGCCAGCAGCCCCTTCCTGCCCATTGTGTGTTGCCAAGGCCCCTGCACTGGCCACTGTGGGTTGTCATCTCTTCATTGGTCTGTTCTACAGAACCGAGTTCCCAAAGGGCACCTGGGCATCTCACTTAGGGCTTCGAGGCAAAGAGGTTTGGGGGATGAAGCGGGAGAGAGGGCTGGCACAAGGCCAGGGACTCCTCAAGCACAGCTGCTCTGATGGCTTCTCAAGGGAGGGGAGTCACAGAGATCCAACAGCATCTCACACCCTCCTGCGCAAGCATCCCAGGTGCTCTTCTGCCCTCCTGAGCCCAGGGAGCTGCACCATGACTTCATCTTGGCCTCTGGCTCAGGGCTGGGCTCAGCACCAATGCTTAAGGAAGGGCTTGGGGCCCTGGAATGGCTTTGGGATGGCTGGAGAGGTGGCATGGCACTCCTCCCACATCCTCTTCCAGTAGGCCTCTTGTCCTCTTATCAACACCACCTGGGAATATACTGCCCTTAACCCCATGGGACATTTGGCAGGACCTCTCTGGGGCTCAGTTTCCCTGTCTGCATCTTTGGCTTCCCTCTCAGTTCTGGGAAGCAAGACAGGAGTGAGATTTAGCTGTGGATCTCTTTATCCAAGCAATTTTGAAGCCCAAAATACAGGGTGTCCTCTCAGGTGTGATGCCAGTCGGCCTATCATGTGCCAGGGCTGTGGGTTTGCAGCTGCAACAAAAGATGGGGCCATTGCCCTCATGGAGCTTACAGTCTGGTGGGGAGACTGGACAAAGAGAAGCGGGTAGAGGATATAGCGCTGGCCTCCGTCTCCCTGCCCCACCTGCCCCACCTGCCCCACTGCTGGTCAGCCCTCCAGTGGGGAGTGGAGCACCAGGGGAAGACCCAGGTGGCTCACTTAACCCTGGGGAAAGGCTGATGACATGGCTGTTGTTTGATCTCCATCTCATACAAGAAGAGACTGAGACCCAAGGAAGACAGGCCTGTGTAGGGAGCTGACAAGGGCCACTTCACATGCCACAGGGTGGCTGCTCCATTGGAGCCTTCTGTCTTCCTGCTGAGGCACAGATAACCACAAGCCACTTAAAATTTAGCATTTCAGCCCTTAGTCGCTCGAACCATATTTTAATTACTTAGTGTCCCCATGTAGTCAGTGGCCGCCATATCAGACAGCACAACTATGGAACGTTTCCATCATCACAGAAAACTGGTAATGGTACTCTAGAGCAAAGGTCAGTAAGCTTTTGCGCCTCATCTGGCCCACACCTACCTTATAAAGTCGTATGTACTGAACAAGCACATTATTTTGCATATTGCTTTTTTCAGAAAGTTCCGTTAGGGCTGCTCAAAGGCAGGGGTCAGCAAACTACAGCCTATGCACCAAATCTGGTCCACTACCTATTTTTATAAATAAGGGTCTTTTTATAATACAACCTATTTATTGACATATTGCCTATTGGGGCTGCTCTCTGAACTACAGACATCATCTGGCCTATAAATCTGGCTGAAAAATGTACTGCCTTGCCCTTTACAGAAAATGTTTACTGATCCCTCCTCTACAGAAAGTCTCAGAGCACAATCTGACAATCATTGATCTAAAACTGATTCTCAAAGGGTGGTCCCTGGACCAGGAGTATCAGCATCACCTGGGAATACAAGTTCTCAGGCCCCAATCCCATCCTGGTGAATCAGAAATGCTGGAGTTGGGACCCAGGAATCTGTCTTAGCCAGCCTGGTATCCAAGTGATCCTTATGCATGGAAAACCCCTGTTCTAAGACACCCAGGATGTGCCAACAAGTGACTGGCACAGGAAGAGTGTTAATGGGCTCCCCTGGGTAACAAGAGTTTGAAAGAAATGTCAGGAGAGTGATAACCCATCCACTGCCTAATCCCTTTGCAGCAAAGCCTTGACAGGGCTTCCACAGAGGCTGTGCCCTGGCAGAGAGCTACCCGCGATGCCCAGGCTCCGCGCCCCCCCACCACCTGCCGCCTGTGTGCCCCGCCCTCCGCCGCGTTGTTAGCACATTGAAGCAGCCACTGCGCATAAATTCATGGACCAGCTGTCTCTTTTAATCTGGTCGCAAGATGAAACCATTAATAGATGTCAGACACATTGGCAATGATCTCTTCATTAATAATTTCCTCCTTTCTGAGGAAAAAAAAAATTAGTAACAAGCAACCATCAATAATTCAGAAATACAAGTTAACCTTTCTATTAGCAGAGTCACTGTGTGCACACCGCTCGCTCTTTCCAGAGCCAGAAGTTCTGGCTTGAGTAATGTTTTGATGGCAGGAATATTAATATGCATTAATGCTGTCTGTCAAGACCCGCAAATATAAATAACCCAAATGCAACTTAGAAATCATAAGTATGTTTCCAGTTTAACCTCATGATCCAGCCATTTTGTTCTATAAAGGCATGCATTATCCAATAATATTGCTCTGTCCAAAA